ATAATGACATTTGATTGGATGGCATCACTTATGTATATGTAGCATATGACATATAATAACTTATAAACACGTGGTATGTGTCATATCATCATTTATGAACATGTGATATCTGTTATGTCATCATTTACGTACATGTGACATGTATCTTGTCATTACTAATGTACATATGACATATGTCATGTCATTATTTATGTATACGTAACATGTGTTATGTTATCACTTTTAAATATAAAAATCATCACATCAACGACAAGTGTTGATCGTTAGTCAATTAATGATTTTTATCAAACTAGAGATTATTTTATCATAAAATAAAAATTTAGAGTTAAAATACTCAAAAAAAAAGAATAAAAATTAAAACGATTATTGAATTACATGTTTGAAGTATTTTTTATTATGCCTAATAAAAATAATAGAATTTCAAATATTAAATTCAAAGGAAACAGGGAAGAGGGATGAGGGTGGAAGAGAAAGATAAGACATAACATAATCACATATACATAAATAATGACATGACATATGTCACGTGTACGTAAGTGATGACATAATACATGTTACATGTACGTAAATGATAACATAATACATATCACATATTCATAAATGATGACATGACACCTTATTACGTATTCATGAGTGATAATATGATTTGAAAAAATTGGTGGTTGGGTGAGCATTAAAAATGTGCTCAAGAGTCTCCCATTAAAAGTAACAATTTTTTGTAAATTTATCTTAAGTCCCCAATATTTTATAAACTTTTTAATTAAATCTTTGTACAATATTCTTAGAGTAATATTACATTCCAATAATCTTATTCTCAAAGATAATCTTACATTCACTGAATTAAACTAAACCCCTAATGTAAAGCACGTAGGGGGCATATCCATGTTTAAGGCTAAGCTTCTGCTATTATGAACTTGTTAACAAATTTAGTCGATACTTCCAAAACAGTGATGCTAGAAATTTAAGTTTATATGCAAGGTGTTTTGTATGGTTAAAACCGGTATATACGACATAAACTTACGCAGTTACCTTTGCTCATGTACCCCTGCAATCATGTTTGACTTCACTAATGACTAAACAGAAAAATGATGCTTAAAAAAGTTCATTTGTCCTAGAATGATGTTTAAAACATATGAGAAAGAGTATAGCATCCCCTAAATACTACTCTTCTCCTAATCATTTTGATTCAAAGATCAAACTGACACATCTTTGAGATACTCAAAAATGTCGAAATCTTGACAACTTCTGTGATTTGCTACTACTCCAGTACTAAAACTCTAGAGTGATTGAAATCTAGTATAAAATAAAAACCAAAAGTTAACACTCAAAAACATTCTTCAACCTTCCTGCTGTTTCCAACAAGGATGAAACAATTTCAAACCCCACTTTTCTTTTCTGAATCAAGACTCAAGATGAGTGCAGCAGCAGCATCAACTACGGGCCTCTCGCATGTAAAATAGTCGTGCAACGAACAAGATACAAAGGGGAAACACGGGAAATATATAGGTCTAAGTAAGAACAAGTAGTTGCAAAGCGTTGGCTATATCCATCAATTACCTGTGTCCAGATTGTAAGCTTCAATCTTTTCCCACCAATTGTGACCATCTTGATTTTGAAATCCACCCCTGGAAACATCAAAAACAGCTAGCAAAGTTCAATGGACATATGACATAAAGTTGAACGTAAAGACCAAGATATTGCTCAAGCATAGGACAAGAAGATGAACATAAAATACAATGAAAAAGGCACAGCTTTTCATATATATTTTCCTCTTGCCATCTGCAGGGACAACTGAATTAATTTCCATGCCTAATGTTTACAGTTATCTACTCAGTTACAAATTTACAATTGCCTAATCTGTTCATCTGTTCACTGTCTCAAACTCCCTAATATTATTTCCTCATCTCAAACTCCATAAAAAATTGAAAAAATAAAAAGGATTTCTTTTAACCCCTTCTCTTCAATTTCTTGCAACCCCACTACATAGAAAAACAACTCTTTTCAATCATTTTAATAGGGAACCAAACCGTTCACACACAGACACGCACAAAAAAAGAATCAAAGTAAATCCTGGGTGTGAATCCCAAAACGAACATGCAATGCAAGAACAAGAGTTGGCCAAAAAGAGTATGACATTAGGAGGAAAAGGTAAAAAAAGGTTATGGCACATGCAGGTTTCGAACCTGCGACCTTCGCGTCATTAGCACAACACTTTAACCAACTGAGCTAATAGGCCAATGTTTTTTATCTCACACGTTTCTGATAGATTTCTCTTTTTTTCAGTTAGAACTGGATTGGATCAGTTCTGTTGGAACATTTTTGTGTCAGTTTTGTTATTTGGGTAACATATTCTAAGTAAATTGGAGGAGAAAAAAGACGAAAACGCTAGAAGGAGGGCTTGAACCTCCGACCTTGTGGTTAACAGCCACACGCTCTAACCAACTGAGCTACTCCAGCCTTTTGCTAAGGCGATAAATGACTTAAATTTTTTAATTTAGTAAAGTTGGGTAAGGATGGCAAATCAGGTTAATTTTTTTTGAATTAATTAAGTTTACGAGCTTTATCGTATTTTAATTTTAATCAATTATTTTAATTATTAGATCGGTTATGATTAAAATAATTGAGTATGTTAATTTAATAAAGACCCAATTAAATATATCATAAAAATTTAATTATTATTTGAAGATTAAATATAAAATTAATATATTTATATATGCTTTATTTAGAAAATAGATATTTAAAGTTTATCATAATTATTATTTAAGTACTTAGGGTACGTTTGGTTCATAGAATGTATCATTACCTCCGGGAATAGGATTACCGGAATGTAACATTACCTAACACATTACTGGGAATGTTGCATTGTTATGTTTGGTTCGTTTAGCATGAATGTAATATTACATTGTTTGGTTAAAGGAATAAAATATTATTTGAATGTATATTTTACCAAATTGTCCTTATTATATATCGGTTTTTTTAACAAGTTGAATTATAAATATTAAAATGAAAATATTTGTATAAAATATCATAGAAAATATATAATTTTATTATTTTTAATTTATATATTTTATTTAAAAAATTTAAATTCATAAAATTTATATAATTTTTATACAAAATGTAAAAGATAAATAGGTTTAATGAAAGGATTTAATGTTATTTTAACCCTTGAACTTCATATAAAAGTCTATGGACTTTTTTTGTAAATCTAAAAAAGTTTAAGAATAAATTTACAATTTAACTTTCGTAGAATTTTTTTTATTCAACGACAGAAGAATGATATTTTTGAAGAAAAAAAAATATGTTAAGGGCATTTTAGTCCAAAACGCTTGGAATGACTTATTACCGAGGGTTGGGAATCACATTCTGGAAAGAATATTCCCCCCGGTAAACTCACATATCCCCATCCAAACGTACCCTTAAAACATTCTTTTGATTAAGATAGGTACTTAAAGTATTTATCTTTTTTATTTAAGTACGTAAAATATTTTTTTGTCAAAGTAGATACCTAAAGTATATAATATTTTCCCTCTAGAATATCGAAAATTAACACGTGACATTGATTAAAAAATATTTTAAGTGCGTAGATGAAAAATGTTATCTAAGTACTTAAATAAAAAAGTTACATATTTTATGTACTTATTTTAAATTAAACCTTTATATATGAGTTCTTTATCACTCTACCTATATTCATTTATTAATATTGTTATATAAAAATATTTCATTTATTTATGTCAACAAAATCTAGTAAAAAATTATATTTGTTATAAAAAGGGGAAATAATTAAGGGTAAATTACACCAATGGTCACTGATATTTAGGTAAGTTTTCGTTTTCACCACTAATGTTTCAAAAGTTACAAATCGATCACTAACATTATCGTTTGTGACAAAATGGTCATTGGTCGTTAACAGCTGTTAAGAGGCGTGACGAAAAATACAGCTGGACCGTTATCTGCTGAGTTGGATCGTTGACCTCCATTTTGACTGACTCTTCTTCTTCTTCAACCCATTCCCCATCTTCTTTTTCTTCACTTTTCTTCTTCTTTCTTTCTCTTCACTTTTCTTCTTTTCCAATGAGAACATGGTTTTAAAATATGGTGAGCATTTGGGCATGGAAGAATGGTTTCTGGGTTTTGTGATTCTGGTCTCAACTGGGGGATAGAGTCAGAGGAGCTCTCCCCCAAGATTTCTTTGCACCCAACATTACAGAATATATCTCCTTCTCCTTCACAAGCCATCGAAATGTTTAGCTCAAACATTAACAGCCACCACATTGCTTATGCAATTGATAGAGATGATTTAACCTCTCTAAGCACGCTAATCATCTCCAGCATTGTGTACTCCACTAGCTGTTGAAAATCCTCAAACACATAATTTGAAATATCCTCTCCTTTAATGAAGCCAAGGCATCATTCACAACATTTGACACAAGATTTTTACCCCATATTGCTTACATTACATAGGAAAATAAAAATGCATACCTGTAACAGTAAGAAGATAACCAATGAGCAAAGGAACCTTTATCAAGTAAGCAAAAGACTGAAAAGTGAAGAAAAGTGAAGAGAAAGAAAGAAGAAGAAAAGTGAAGAAAAAGAAGATGGGGAAAAGGTTGAAGAAGAAGAAGAGCTAGTCAAATGGCGGTCAATGATCCAACTCAGCATATAACGGTCCAGCTGTATTTTTCGTCACGCCTCTTAACGGTTGTTAATGGCCAGTGACCATTTTATCACAAACGATAACGTTAGTGACCGATTTGTAACTTTTGAAACATTAGTGGTGAAAACAAAAACTTACCCAAACATCAGTGACCATTGGCGTAGTTTACCCAATAATTAACGTCTGGATTCAATTTAATCTAAAAATAAGCCAACTGGAATATAAGAGAAGAAGGGTATTAGACTGAGTTATAAAAGTTCAAGGGGCGAATCTGATAAATAAACTAGAGAAAAATTTAAACCAAACGAATAAATAAAGCTACAAAAGAAACAGCTTACATACTTCAAAGCAAAATCACAGCTAACGCTTTTGGCACCTTCTCTCATTCTAGGCCGTGCGAAAAACTGGGAAACCTGCAGGAGATAATCAAATCTGAGCAAAAAAGAAGAAAAATATGTTCAGATTACATAAGCAAAAGTCTGATAAATCCGGTGAGAGATTCGATTTCAAGTTCTCCAGCTTCCAAGCTGTTCAGGTATCTCCTTTCACTCTGTTTTCTTTTTCTTTTGTATTTTTTTTACATTTTCTGAATTATTACTTCATTGTAATGTTAACATTGAATCCGCTGTTACATCGGCAAAACTCAACTTCAAACGTTTTTCGTTTTTTTCCCCTTCAATTTTCTTTTTCAAGTTTACGTTCTCACTGTCAATTCGCTGCAGATTTAAGTTTCCTTTTTTATGGTTGGAAGATGCTTTTTTATTTGTATCATTTCATTTCTGAGTGCGTTTGTGGAGAGTTACTAATAATATTCTTTTACAATTTTTTATTTATCGATGAATTTATTTGTAATTTAATTGTAATTTCATTATACGAAGATCTACGATAAGCAGTAAGGATGGCTACATTTTTAGTTTGGATTTTCTTTTAGTCAGATATGTTGACGCTTCAGTTTTGACTTCTATAATGTTTTTCATCTTGTACATTAACTTTATTTCTAGTTGCGCTGTAAAATACCGTAAATAATTATGAAGCGGGAATTGTAGTTGAAATCGTTATACAAATTGTCGTGGGGTTTTTTGATATAATTTGAGGTTTATTTCTTAAAATTTACTCAAGATAATTTTGATTTAATGACGATTACTTGATTCCTACTAAAATATAAAATGTGATAATAAAGTTTAGATTCTGTTGACTGTTATATTAGGCTCTGTATGTGCATTATTTATGCTAATTGCGGTTACTTGACTAAGCTAAAAATAATTTAAATAAAAATCTAAAAGTTCTTGTAACAAAATAGCGAGCCTATTCCCACGAATGGTTTGATTTCTTTCATGCATTCTAATTGTGGATTATTGAATTCTTGAAGATTCCAAAAGGATGGGACAAGCTTTTTGTGTCAGTTATTTCTGTGGATACTGGAAAAATTGTAAACAAATGGGGCAAAGAGTCAGTGCGGAATGAAAATTGTCGATGGACATAGCTTCTCAGAATCCATTTATATTGCAAGAGGTGATACTTCGAAAGTGATTGATGGATGCTTATTTAAGCTTGTTGTTGCCATGGTATGGTGCTTTGCCTTGGTCTTTTATGAAGTTTTATATATTGTTGTGGAATTGATTTATGTCAGGATTATAAATAATTAACTTAAATTGATGTTATTGTAGGGATCATCTAGATCCGGCTTCCTTGGAGAGGCAACAATTAACCTTGAAAGCTACATAAGTTCAAAAAGTTCAATTCCTCTTTCATTACCATTAAAGAAAAGTAACCATGGAACAGTATTACAGGTGAGATCTAAAGTTGCTTCTTGTTTCAAGTGCCCAACAGTTTCAACCTTTACTGATATATAAAAGTTAAGACCAACTTTTTCCTAATTCTAAAGGATAAATCTTTTAAATCGATGGAACAAGATCATCTAGTTTGAATTGCTTGCTGCCACTGTGTGTTGGTTTTGTTGCTAAATTGTAATTTTATTGCTTAAAATAGTGGATGATAGAAGTTTGCAGTGCTTCTTAAAGTGAATCCATGGAAAGAAAATTAGTTATGGCTTAAAGTTCAGTTACTTTTGAGGGAGGAATCATCATGTAGAAATTGATTCAGTATTACTTAAGCTTATTCAGATACATTTGTCGACAGTTTCGGAAATCTAGTACCCAAACCATGGTTTCTGGTCAACAAACTCGTCGTCAAACTTATTTTATGTCTCAATCACATGTTTTTATTTAGGAACAGAAACTCAATTATTCACCTTTCTCTGATGTTATTTCTTCATGATTATCTGCAGGTTAAAAATTCAGTGCTCGACACCAAGAGAAGAACGCAGGTTTACGATTTTGCATGAAACCTTACACTTTATGAGATTCAGTTTGTATTATGAATTATGATTGTAAAAAAAGGCTACTGTATCTTTTAAAGGGATGAGCAATGGAAAATTATAGATTTGTCGTATTCGGAGGATGCTTCTCTGGAATACGATAACTTGGAAACCAAGTCTGATGCTTCTGATGGTACATTTACCAGGAGTGTTGGAGCTTCTTCTAGTTATCACTTTGAGGGTACCCTTCATCCTGGAGAATTGTCTGGTAGGGTATGGTCCCTTGATATTATTCCTAGTTGTTTTGCGGATATGCTAAGACTTCCTTTTGTCAACTTCCCTTTCTGCAATTGTGTTTCTTTTAACTAATTCTGTTATTTAATCTGAATATAGTTAAAACACTCCAGTGTCAATCAAACTTACCTGAAAGTACATGAATTACAAAAACACTAGTAATAGGTTTGGTAGATTGCAAAGAATGCGACAAGCAGTCTAGAACTTTGCCTCTATGATAAGCATTCTCAATTAGTTTCCTGTGCACGTTGTCTTTGAGGCTGATGAAACCTACTCATGTCTGTTCAGGAACCAAGTTTGTCAGCATCGGACTCGCGTAATAGCTTTGATTCCTTGGATGGTTCCTATAGAGAAATTTTCTCCCCTCATAACGGGGTTATGAGCAATCTAATTGGAAGACAAGATTCAACTGGTTCTCAAACTTGTTCTCCTCATAGATCTTATTCTTTTACCTATTCTTCGAGGTCAAACCACTCCGGGGCACCAAAGCTCTCCAGTTCTGGAAGTCATTCTCATAACCACAAAGAAGACTCGAATCGGGCTTCACTTCTTGTTCCCTCTTCTCCACTACGTAATGCTGGTTCATCTAAAAATGTCTTGGAATATGCAGAAATCACAATTGGGGACCTTCGAGCAGAAGCTAGGATGTGGGACCAAAATGCTCGAAAGTTGATGATTGATATGGAAAAATTGCAGAAGGAATTTTTTGACCTTGCCAACCGCCAAAAGAGTCTTGAGACAGCACTTTCAACATCCCAGGCTGAATGCGATTGCATGAAGAAGGAGATCAAACAAGTGAAGATCTTGTTGGAGGAATCACAGATGAAACAGGCCGCTTCCAACAGTTTGAAGTTTCAGATTAAAAATACTGATTCCTTTCAAAAGGAGTTGGAAGATGAGATAAGGTTTCAGTGAGAGGAAAATTCTGATTTGGCCTCACAGTTGAAAAAAACCCAAGAATCAAATATTGAGCTTGTTTCCATTCTTCAGGAACTAGAAGAAACAATAGAAAAGCAGAAAGTAGAAATTGATAACCTTTCTGCGGCAAAATCTGAATGCAAAAGCGATATTCTTGGACAACGAAGACAATATTTGCAATCGGAGAACAGAAATCTAGAGGTCCAATTTCAGCTTCTGCAGGAATCACATAGGAAACTGAAAAGCACTACTCAGGTTCTGGAGGAAACTCTTAAAGAAAAGAACCATGAAATGGAGATCGAACAAGTTTCAAGGAGTCGATCGCTTATGGATTGCGAAGCTCAATGGAAGGGAAAATTAGATGAAACAGAGCAACAAATCATTTATTTGGAAATGAAATTTTCCGATGCTCTAGGTGTCCAAGGTTTAAAGGAAATGGGCTTACTGATGAAAATCTGAAACTTCATTTTATCTCAAAGAATCAAGAAAAGATCATAGTTCTACCTCTAATTTTTTTTACCCGATCATCCATGAAAGAACTCTCTTTCTAGACATGAACCAGAAGCTTCTGCTGATCCTGTACAGATTCAATCTATAGTTCTTAGAAATCGATGTGCTGACCTAGAGCAGCAGTTGGAAGCTTTCAAGGACAATTTCTTATCTAGATGATGAACTCTCCAAATGTCGTGCCAGAGAAGAACAGGAGATTGAAATTGTCGCACTGCAACAACAGTTACAGCGCTACCAGCAAAAAGAAATTGAGAGTAAGGACCGACCTGTTCTTACCTTTGAAGAATTCACTATTTCCAAATCACCTGAGGCCATTGAAATCTCTACGTTGCTTGCTGAGTTACATGAACAAATTCAACTTTCTTTAGCTGAGTTAAAGCGACAGTCTGGTCTTCTTAATTCACATGCAAACCCTGCGGAAATAGTTTCGGATGACTCGAAGATTTTAAAAAGTAAAGATTTGATGAGTCAAAATCAGCAAGTTCAGATTATCTTGAACAATTTTTTCCGGCAAAAACAATATTTAGGAGAAAGTTCTGAGACGGAGAAACTTAAACCCGACAATTTGCTAAAGGAAGATGAGCTTGAGGCTTTAAGACATCATCAAAAGGAGTTAGAAGCTCAGGTTTCTTCTGTTCAGAAGGAGAAAAGCCAGCTGGAGGAGAACAAAGAAATCATGCTCAGAGAAGCTGCTGTTACTGCAAAATGCTCGGAAGATTTACGTAGCGAAATGATGGTCCTTAATAGCAACGTGGATTCCCAGATTTCAGCCAACCAGGTTCTTATAAAGAAATCTACGGAGCTCGAAAGCGGTAAACAGGAACTGGAAGTTCATTTGTCTGAACTAGAAGAAGAAAATCTACAGTTATCAGAAAGGATCTCTGGTTTGGAAGCACAATTAAGGTATCTGACTGGAGAGAGAGTCCCATCGTCTGGAACTACAAAATTCAGAATCTCAAGGAATGAAATTTAAGGAAGAGATAAAAAGAATGGAAAATGAAATGGAGGAACAAAAGGTTGATATGAGAAAGAAGATGGAAGAGATGCAAAAACGGTGGTTAGAAGTTAAAGAAGAGTGTGAGTATCTAAAAGTTGCGAATCCCAAACTACAAGCTACCACTGAAAGTCTTACTGAAGAATGCAGTATGCTTCAGAAAACAAACGGAGAATTAAGGAAGCAAAAGGCGGAGTTATATGAGCATTGTTCGGTCTTGGAAGCAGAACTAAAGGAATCTGAAAAAGTTTTTTCCAACATGGCCAGCGAAATCGAAGCTTTGGAAGAAAAGTATTCCTCGATGCTTGAAGAAATAGCCTCGAAAGAGAAAGCCCTTAACTTCGAGCTAGAAGCACTTCTTCATGAGATCAAGAAGCAGAAAGAAAAACTTGTGCTTGAAGAAAGCCTGTTAAACCGAAAGTACTTGGAGAAGACAATGGAAGTCGACAACCTCCAAAGAGAGGTTGCTCACCTCACCGAACAGATATCGGCTACCCAGGATGAAAAGGAGAAAACAGCATCAGAAGCTGTGCTTGAAGTTTCTCATTTAGGTGCAGATAAAGCCATGCTTGAAGCTTCTGTACAAGATCTTCAAGGAAAGCTTCAATCATCCGAGAGCAAACTCATTGCCTTATAGGTGGAATCCGAAACCGAGTCTCAGGGACTTAAGGAAGAGCTAGCCGCCGCAAAGCAAAAACAGGAAATTTTGATGGCTGACCATGAGAAAATATTAGATTTGTTGGAAGAAGTCAAATCCATTGAAGACAAACTGAAAGGCACTGTTAGAGGGCTTGAACTGAAACTCAAATCTTCCAAGTACGAGAATCAACAGTTGGAAGAAGAAATTTCCAGCCTTAAGGTCCAATTGCTGAAAACAGCGCTCCTTCAGGATGAAATTTTAGCTCTTAAAAGAACAATCGGTCAAGCCAAGTTCGAAAACGAAAGGTTCGAACTGTCTTTCCGAATGCTATTTAGAGACTATGAAGAACTTAAAGTTGAAAAAACCATTTCAGTCCAGAAATTCTCAAACAGTCAGCAAGCTGTTTCCGAATTAGATGCTTTGAAACGTAGGAAAGTTGCCCTTGAAGAAAAGATCATTTGGCTGCAGGGTGATTTAACCGCAAGAGAAGCCTTGGGAACTCAGGAAGCCGCTCTGAAAAACGAGCTGGCACAAATTAAAAGAGAAAATAGCCAACTTCAGAGGAAGATAAAGAACCCTGAGGAGGAGAAAGAAGAGTGCCTGAAGAAAGCTCAAGGTCTTGAAGAGGAACTGAAGCAGATACAACAGGATGAAAGCAATTCCAAGAATGTGAGTCTCTTTACCATAATTCCAAGTGGTGATGGACATGAGTCGGATTAGGTTTTTATTCCATTCAGATCTTACACAAAAGTTAAACCTCTCCAGTTACATCCGATCCAAATTTTGGACTGAAACCCGACCAGACTCGGTTAAAATCTACACTCAACCCAACCTTATATATATATAATTATTTTTATTAGATAAAATAAAAATCTAATTAAAATATAAAAAGATATTATTACAACTATCTCTAAATATATAAAAATAATTATAATATTATATGATCAGATCAAATTTTTTAAACATAACCCCAGACTCAACTCCACCCTCAAAATATCCGATCCAATCTGAATGTGAATTTTCAAAATAAAAATTCGGCTGGACCGAATTTGGTTGGATCACAGCCGGTCAAATCCGACCCTCCTAAAATTTCGAGCTTAGTAGTTTATTATCATCGGTTTAGCTATTTGAACCCCTCCTTTATAGTTCTTGTTTGGAATTTCTCTCATGTGTACCTGATTTCATTAAAAATAAGCTCAAAAAGGTTTATGAGGACTTTTTCCTGATTTAGAATAACATAGAAGAGAATAATAACCCGCTATCAACTGAAACGAACCAACCCGTCAACATATGGATGAAAATCATACGAAGGTTATTCTGTCTACAGTTTTTCTTTTCTTTTTACTTCATGTTAGTTGTTTCTAATATTTCAGACTGGGCAATCAGATCTTTGCAAAGGTTATCTATGAGACTGTGGCTCAAAGATCTCTTTTCAGGACAATAACAATCGAAACTGCAATAATGAGATTCCTCAAGTTTCAGGAGTCGATCTTTCGTCGAGAATTCAGAATCCTGAAAATGAACTTGCAGAAGCTCTAGAAGCAAATGACATGTACAAGGCCCAGCTTAATAGGTAGGCTTTCAAAAATTCATCCTATAATCAATTTAATCTTCTTTTTTTTAATATTTTAACTTTAGTTAAAATAATTTCTTTTATAAAAATAGTTAGTTAATTGACTATTAACCGTTGTTATTGATGTGACAAACTCACATGTATTAAAATATTAATATAGCACTATGATGTGGATTTAAATAAGCATAATGCTAAAATTTGTCTCTTTATTAAAATAAGTATTTTATCTCCTATTCTATTTTTTTTGGAATATTTTGACTCTTAACGTTTCATTTTAGGCACACGAAAAAATCTAACATTTAATAGAATAATCGCTTTGTTCTTTATTTTTTTTTTGGGCATTCTAACCCTCAATATTTCATTTTAGGATAAAAAATACTCATATTTTTTAAACGTTAATAGTGTGTTAACTAATGATTTTCATCTATAGATGGAGCATTTTGCCCAAAAGTGAAACGTTGGGAGCCAAAATGCTCAACAAAGATTAAGGACTAAAATGACTATTTTAATATACATTGGGGACTATTTTTGACATTATACCATTTAAATTATAATATATATTTTCATTTATTAAATTAATATTATTTAGTTCTTTTATCAAATTAACATCATCTAATAAAATAACAATACCCGGCATCATTATGGATTGCAAGTGTGGGAACGTAAACCTGGGTTTCTCCTAGGACGAGAGGTCTCCTAAGATAAAAAGATCCAACGCCTAACCACCGTGTCAGAATGTTTAGAATCGAGAAGAGAAATCAGATTCCACGCGTACCAGTGAATGCTAAACGTTCTTTACGTATTTTGCTTGCCTGCAGTTTGTTACGCGATGAAGTAAGCTTATATCCAGCTGCTTGGGAGAAGTCGACCCGTGAAAGGGCTGCAAGAAAAGAGCGATGTGATTGCCAGATGTCAGCGTTCAAGACCGAGCTGTAAGAATTACGCGAACGATACCTACACATGAGCCTCAAATACGCAGAGGTAGAAGATCAGCGGGAGAAACTCGTGATGCAGCCCAGAGCTGCCAGTGGTCGAAAGCGCTGATTCTAATGACTTATACGTAAGTTTGGTCGTATTCTTTCTCCCGCTCCGGCCTTCGACACTAAGCTTCTCATCTTCCACCATTTAATTTTTTGAGGGTTTATTGAAGGTTAATTGTAATATACAAAGATACATATAAGTTATACAAGTATATATATTTTTTAATTTCTTGAGGGTATACAGAAAAAACAGAAGTGTAAGCCTTGATGTAATAAATTCAGCAATCACTGAGAGACAAGATTGCGGAGTCTAAATTTTACGCGTCCTTGTGTATCGAATAATTTTCATAATAATAATTTACAGTGGAATGGAGAAAAAAAGGAGGAACAAAGAATTAACTATGACTGACATTTATTTAACGCATGAATGAATCAATGATATCAATTGTTATTCCAAGTATAAACTTCATAGCATTCTACATATAATCAGAAAAAAAAAAAAGAACACAGGCAAGAAACCTTAATTAGGACTCTCTGCAGCTTGGAGCCTTTTTAACTATATACCACTCTTTCTGTTGAATTCTTATTCTGTTCTTTCATCTCTTTACAGTATTGAGTATGCACGGATTACCTCCACGATAGGTGCTCGACACAATGGGCATTTTCCTCCGCCACGAACCAGCTCGTTCGCACATTTTGTACAAGTGCACATGTGTCCACATCTGTAAAACCAACATTTTAATGTGCAGAATACACGATTGTGATATATAAGTCGGATCAAACGAGTTTAATATCATGCTTTCGCGTGATATTGACAATGAGAAGATTTGGACATGTTTAATAAGGCAAACCTGTACAATAGTGAATCGATATGGCTATCACAACAGACGCAACAAGTCCCTTTCTTTACATGACCCCAATTAGACCTATCTTCTGATGTTTCTGCACTCAAAACTGTAATGAAAGTGAAAAATAAAAACAGAACCGATCTAAACTACCTGATGAATAAAAGAATCTAAAAATAATGCTTCCCGGGAAAGAAAAGTCGGGAGGAGTTAAAACCTTTTTCACCAGCTGAACGATTCAGAGCAGCAGAGACTTCCTGCCTGACAGATCGCTGTAACTCCAGCTGCATATCCATGCAGGCTTCCAACATCCTCTGCATGTTGCTCATTCCCTGCTGGAGTCTTTCCATATCAGCTCTTAGATCATTAATCATCTCCCATTCCTGCTGAAAATAAAAAGCCTCATGAGAAAAACTTAAAGATGCAGCAGATCTAGGCCACTTTTAGATAGTATTCCACATCCATTGAACTATCCGAGACCGACGACATAAAATGATAAAAAGAAGACACATCATTAAATCCATCGGTTGCCTAAAGTGTTTGTTTGAAATTGATTATTATGACTGATTTCACATTCGGATTATCTTCAGTATCGAACTCACAATCACAATTATTGGGGAAAACAAAATAACAGAGAATTCTATGAAGAACAAAACTGAATCAGATTCAGTAGTTTTGGTAATATATAGTCGCAAGGCTAAGAAAAATGGCTTACGATTTCTGGTCTATGCATGTTGTGCCTGGACCATCTAGTGTGATGTAAATCATGATGCCTCAGCGGCTGTGGTGGTGGCTCTGGAGGAGAAGGTAACAGTGAAGGTCTGTTAATAGCATCGTTCTGATCGTCATTTGTTTCACCAATCTGCTGCTCTTGACCATGCTCTGGGGAGGCTGGAGTTGGCAAGTTTCTATGCAGATCCCAATCAATGGGAGAATGACCCTGTCTTTCCACATAAGACTGAATTAACTGGTCTAGACTTTCACGGAAACCACTTCGAAGAAGATTAGAGACACTCCTCCTACAAATTAGATAAACCATCAAATACTCCTATTTTAAGTTAAAAGAAAAAGCCAAATATGTTATCAAATACCTGCTCAGAAGTTCTCGAAGTTCCATACCATACAGATTATCATCTTCAGGTGGGTAAAATCTGTTTAACCTTCTAAATGGAACTGCACGACGTGATCTTGGACGATAAGAAGGCCCTTCTGACCAAGTACCAACAGCTTCTTGAGAGCGATCCTCACGCAAATCCCTCCGGGCGTCCTCTTGGTGACTCGCTTCTACATTCTCATTTCCAGGATTGTCTTGGCGATGCTCGCCAACTGAATGTTCCTGCCAATTTGTATCCATTACTTCAGCATCGCCCTCTCTCCATTGATTGAACTGAGCATATGTTGGTTGTTGCAAGTTTCCTCCCTCATCATTGGCACCTGCTTCCTGCCAATTCTCACCTTGGTTAGCATTTTCTTGCCAACTTATGCTCTCAAAAGCCATGTTGCTAACCATATCTCCTGTTTGATCAGGCAACTCAGCGATGCCAGTTTCCAAACTCCTAAATTGTAAGTGCTCATTGTTTTCACTTTGGACATCTGACAACATGTTTGTTTGGGGAAGTTCATTTCCAGAATCAGAGATGACATTGTTAGATGTGGTTTCAGAATTGATGTCAGCTTGATTGCGGACAATTGTTGCTAATCTGTTATGGACTCCTTCCCTGAATGGTAAAATAATTAGCAGTTCTGAAAATCAAGGTACAAGTACGAGAGCTTTGTGCTTGAATAAGCAAAAAAAGAGCATTATACAGAATTGTTCGAGCCATAATCTAGAGGCACGTAGATGAACTGCAACAGAAAACCATACACACCACATTTCTCTCATTGTTTACAGGCGATATCTACTTTTATGCTTCTCAAACAAAAAGCACAAAAGGGAAAAAATCAAACTAAGTTGTTCCAATTTTCCATGAATAGGAGAAAGTTATAGATCAATACACATGAGGTCTAGCTTCATAGTACATAAACAAGAACATAACAAGATTGTCAATCCAAAATACCATATCCCAAGTATTATTCAAGTCAATGTCTTGTTATATATATCATATGCGAAGTTCCTCAGCATATAACATCATTTCCACACAAAGAACCTTTCAAAAACTATTAAAACATTTTTATTAACAGTGAAAACTTCTTCAAGAGCTTCTTCATTATGAGCATGAACAGAAAATATTCATACCTCAAGTCAGATACGGTGTTCCGTTGTCTTAACTGAATTAATTCACTTGCTGCGGATGAAGATGATCTTTCCCATTCAACAGGTCTTTCATTTCGTAAGAATCTACCTCTGAGTAGTGTCTGCAAAGTTAAAAGCATTATAAGCATACAAAACATAGAAAGGCCCTTCACTAGACAAGATGAAAACAAAAATATATTAACATCATGAAAATATGTAAGATTATGCAGTCATCAACAAAATTTTCACATTAAAAAAATAAACATTTATAGGAAAAAATGATGTTACTTTCACTTTTAACCCTGATACAGCAATTTTACCCAGTTTACCAAGAAGAAAACGCATGCATCCTCTTAGATGTTTAAAAATAAATACCCAAAGCTTATCTGAATATAGTTCCTTGAAAGAAAGAAATGTATTGCAGCATGCAAAAATAAATGGGAGCTAGTACCATCTTACTGAACCACGAACTTAACAAACTTCATGATAGCCAGCTAACCTGAATGCGGTTGCGATGAGCAAAATCAGAAACAGCACGGTGCTCCAATAAACCCTGAAGTTCCCTCTGTCTTTCTCTTTCAATCCGCACAAGCAAGTCGATTACAGCTTGTCTTCCACGCAACCTCCTCAAGTCCCTCAGAACATGCTCTTGTCTGCCTTCATCATGCTCAGCAACTGAGCCTTCTCGAACAGGACCGGCTTGCACACTAACTGTGGCTGGCTGATTTGCCCTCCGCCCCCCACGAACACCTAGCTGCTGAGTTGTCATTTGCACCCACTCCCGGACAATTCTAACTCTCTCACGCTCAGTTTCGCCAAGCCATTCAGCGCTAGGATTGCTTGTCCTTTGGGTAACATTGGACGAATGTTGAGTAATCCCACTCCCCATCCATCCCTGAACAATCTGCCTCACCCTTTCTCTCTCTACTTCGCTGAGATCAGGGGAGTGCTCCCTGATAGACCCATTATTATACCCACGATCGTTCTGTGACACACCCTGATCATGCGACCATGTTCCATTCTCATTCTCACTCGCATCTCCAACACTCGCCTGATTCTCACTCCCACGACTCTCAGAAAAAGTTGCACTAGACACTGTCGTATTATTATCAGCATCGCTTTGCCTCCTCAACCTTTCCCTCACCCTCTCTCGTGCCCTATTCAACATATGGTCATCCTCCAACTCCCTCCACATTTGCAAAATCGAAGAAGCCCGAGTACTAGGCCTCTCATCATTCCCCCCTTGTCTCCTAGAAGCAGGTGACTGCGACTCTCTCAAGAATGAAGAGTCGAGCATCGAAACAGTATGTAAACCAGCCAAAGCCATCAGTTCAGACTCCCTGTTCCTCCTCTCCATGGTTGTTATCATTTCCTGAGCCTGCCTGGCAGCCCATCTACTCAAAATCCTAGAATGCCGCCTTCTAGCTGCAGATGATTCAGCTAAATCATCACCTTCAAGATCAGACCTCCTCCTCCTCCTAACAAGCTGATCACCACCATCATCATCCTCGTCATCAGGATTTGCATTAGAACTGCAGGATGCAAATGACATGCAATCATCCAAATGCCCTCTCATCAAGTCCTCCAAACCCCTTTCCAATTCAGCTCTGACGTCATTCGCGGGTTCTGGTTTTTGTTGTAAAGCTTGAAAATCCGTCATTTCCCCCCCTACGTCTAACCCTTCCCTCTAATACAGATAACCCATTTGCCTTCAAAATTACCCAAGATCACAACCACATAAAATACATATATAAATATGCCAAAAATTAGAAAACCATAGCCTAATTTGGCTTTCAAAATCTATTAAAAAGCAAAAGGAAATAAAGAAAATAAGTATGCCCTAAATTCGGAAAAGGAGAGAGCCCCAACTCATTTCTTCAGCTGATAAAAATATCAAAAATAAATAAATAAATAAGTAAATACCAAAAAATCCCAACAAATCAAAAGAAAAGGTAAAAAAAAAAAGAGAGGAAAAATTGATTGAAAAACTTGAGGCGAAAGAGACGTACCTTCTGAAATTTAAGAATGAAAAGAAAATCATTTTCATTCCTTTTCGTGTATTGAAATGTTTGCCTGAAAATCAAAATAAGAAACCGAAACAAGTTCAGAAAAAACAAGGAGGGAGAGAAGGATCAAAGCCTACAACGATGGGACAAAACTACTTCCGAAGTACCAATGCATAGCAAATTTTGTTTTTCAAGTAATTTTGGTTTCATTTTTAGAGAAACTTACCGAAGATGTCACTCTTGTTCGAGTTTCTTCTTATTTTGATCGACAAACTTTGAAAAACAACATTTTGACTACCTATATTATGGATTCACGATGCGACACATTTACAAAAATATTATTTTTTATTTTAAATTTTAAATAAAATATCAATTTGACTTACCTAAAAAAATTCTTACTTTTATTATCAGGTCACAATCATGAATCATCGATTTTTTTATTGATAAATATTACAAACGACTTTATATTGTTCTCTTATTTTGCTTTATTGGCTCAATTTGTTTTTGCTTTAAAAAAAATCTCCTCAAATATTGTGTATACATTCAAACTTCAATTTATCCTTTGACATTGTAAGATCATCATCAAGCAGTTATATATTTCTTTTATTTATTCTTTATCTTTCCACGGTTGAGATTATCATCCAACTATCGAAATGTCAAAGATTAAAAATGAGATTTAGGTTTAAATCAAATTTTATAGTATCAAATTATAAAATATGTTTTCAAATAAATTAGGTAAAATTGATTCTTTTCATGAATAACTCCTGTTTTTATCTTTCATCCCACTATTAACGTACCACATCAATAATAGAGTTAACAGATCAGTGTCCAAAAATACAATAAATTAATAATATAAGTGATCAAGAATATACTTTTCAAAATATGGTTATCAAAATAAAAAAGTGTCCTCACTGTAATTTATCCTAATTGTTTTATTAAGGGAAAAGAAGGACGCACTGGTTTACAAAAAGAGTGACACGTCCTGAAACATTTGGGCTTTTAGATATTATTTTTAATTATACTTTTGGAAGTCAATCACTTTACGCCACGTCATTATTTATTTGGAATGACCCTGTCACTTCTTTCTTCACGCTTCATGACGCTACACCACTCTTTACCTTTTTTAATTTATTTATATCACCCCCAAAAAAATAGTTTATTTAGAAATATAAATATAATTAATATTAAATATATATTTAAAAAAACCAGTTTTATAAATAATTATAGTTATTCTATTTATAAACTATATAAAAAGAGAAAATCGCCTCAGTGACCAAAAAAAAGTTATAATATACGATTTTAACCAACTTTTTTTGGATTTGCCAAAATGACCAACAAAATCGCAACGCGAAATAAAAATCGCAACGCGATCCCCAGAATCGCAAATCAGTTTCCAGAATCGCAACGCGATTCTTGAAAATCGCGATGCGATAGTACAAATTCGCATTGCGATTTTCCATAATCGCAACGCGAATATGAAAATCGCAACGCGAACACATAAATCGCAACGCGTATCCGTAAATCGCAACGTGTATCCGTAAATCGCAACGCGTATGGGTAAATCGCAATGCGTATCCGTATATCGCAACGCGTATCCGTAAATCGCAACGCGTATCCGTAAACCGCAACGTGTATCCGTAAATCGCAACGCGTATCCGTAAATCGCAATGCGTATCCGTAAATCGCAACGCGTATCCGTAAATCGCAACGATAATCCGTAAATCGCAACGCGTATCCGTAAATCGCAACGATAATCCGTAAATCGCAACGAGAATCTGTAAATCGCAACGATAATCCGTAAATCGCAACGAGAATCTGTAAATCACAACACTGAAATTTTGGGTATATAACACTGAAATCATAAACTAAATCCCTAAATCGCAACTCATTCCATCTCCATCTATCACTCTCTCCGGCGACATCCGTTCCTATATCCAACGACATCCTTCCCCATCCGGCAACAGGTCTTAGTTTCGCATCTCGTTTGTTTAGTTACAACCATGAAATCATCTAATGTTGATCATGTTTGGATAGATTTGTGTTTTGGAGGGTCATGGGATAATGTTAATGGTGTTTTACAATATATGCCTTTACCCATAAATCTTCAACTAAAATTGTCTTTACAAAAGTTAACTTATGAAACTCTAATGCTACGTGTTTCAAATAAATTGAATTTAGAGCCCCTAAGTGGATTTAGGCTATCTTATCAGAGAAATGGTAAAGTTTATTTGTTAACCGACAATGAAGATGTTGAACGATTCATTGCTTACATTAGTGTTTCACAAGATGATGTTACATTGTATGTTGTTGAACCTAGAAGTAGTATTGTTGGGTCAGTAGCGGGTAGTAATCAACTAAGTTTTTCTCAAAACCCACAACCTTTCTCTAATCCAAATCCCAATCAACTTTCAGCACCAAATTCCGGTTTTCGTATTGACCAGTTAGACGATGATGAGCCAACAGAAAAAATTGTGAGTACTAGTCAGTATTCGAAATTTGGTCTTGGTCAATATCCGGACTTTGATATTGGTCAATACACGGATTTTGATGATGTTTCAGAAGAAGAAACAGACCATGCGTGTAATGATATTGATATTGGTCAATACCCGAATTTTGATGATGAAACAGCCGTTGCCGAAGAATGTAATGTTGATGATAATGAGGAGGAAGTTACGACTGTGAATGAACATGTTGAACATCCATTCTGTAATTCATATAATCCTGAAGAAGAAAAAGAAGAAGAAAAAGTCCCCGAAGAAAAGAAAATGCCACGGGCGTATAACTGGAATATGCCAGAATTACTTCAGATACCGGAAGAAGAGTTGATAAAGAAAGCAGTTGATTGTTACACAAAAGTTATTCGTATCAAGAAAGATGATTGTTTTGATACAAAGGAAGACTTGAAGATAGCTTTATATACGAAATGTGTGGAAGATGGCTATCAACTAAAAGTTAACAAATCAAGCAAAGATCGTTTCGAAACAAGGTGTATGATTGACAAAAACTGTACGTGGCGTATGATTGCAAAGAGAATAAAAGATTGCAAAATGTTTCAAGTTAGGACTTTTATTGATAAACATACATGTTCAAGAACCCAAGTTTTTCCTCACCATAGACAGGCAAACAAAAAGGTGTTGGGTGGTTTTCTGGCTGAGTTAATGTTTTTGAATGGCAGGGTATATCGGGGACATGAAATTATGACTGACATGAATGCTCGGTTCAAGATTAGTATATCATATTCTCAAGCTTGGAGAGCCAAATGTTATGCCTTGGAATTGTTGAGGGGGTCGCCAGAAGCATCGTTTGCCCAACTGCCGGCTTATTGTCACAATTTAAAGCTGAAAAATCCTGGGTCGGTAACTCATATCAAAACAGATAGAGATGGACGCTTTGAGTTGCTGTTTATCGCCATTGGTGCTACGGTTAGTAAATCAATATAATTTTGTTGACTCATTTTTGTTAGTTACATGCATTTAACATTTAAATGATTATATTCTTGTGTATATTATTTTGTAGATTCGTTCGTTTATTACTTGCATGCGCCCAGTTATTATAGTTGACGGAGCACATTTGAAAGGTCGATACCTTGGAGTAAACTTATTAGCAGTAGCCATGGATGCTAACAATGGGATATTGCCAATAGCTTACGGGGTTGGCAAATCTGAAACCTCTGATTCATGGACATGGTTTATGGGGCATCTTAGGGATTGCATAGGTCCTATTAGCAATCTGACAATCATATCCGATAGGGCAAACTCAATTGACAACGCTGTTAGAAGGTGTTTCCCAGATGCTTTTCATGGACTTTGTGGTGTTCATTTGTATAGAAATCTAAAATCAAGGTCTGCTGGTATAAAAAAGCACAAATGGACATACTGGAAGGCTGTAAAAGCTTATCGGGAAGTGGATTTCAATAAGCATATAAATTGTTTAAGACGTGTTTTGCCTCAGTGTGCTCAAACACTAGAAGATGTCGGGTTTGAAAGATGGTCAAGAGTACATCAACTTGGAGCAAGATATGGTTTCATGACGTCTAATAGTGCAGAATCAATCAACGCTCTAAGTCGTCATTCCCGGAAATTACCCATTACTATGTTAATGGAGTTTTTTCGAGCCTCTATTCAACAGTGGTACTACAAGAAAAGAAACCATGCAGGTATTATTTCTTTGAATTCGTAACTTATCATATTTATATTTTACTAAGTATTGTTTATTTAAATTTACAGGAACATTGGAACATCGTGTTACACCATGGACTGAAAAAAAGATAACGAAACGTGTTGTGAAGTCAACGTCATGGAGAGTTGAACCATGTTCAAACACTTTGTTTCAAGTACTGGATAATAACTTAAATGGGCTAGTCGATCTAAATGCAAAGACGTGTAGTTGTATGAAATGGCAAACATCTGGTTATCCGTGTGGCCATGTTATAAAAGTTGCTCTTCATTTAAACCAAGATGATTCAAGCGCATACGCTATGGATTGCTACACTACAGAAGTTTATCGACAGACTTATGCCGAGATTGTCTACCCTATTCCACATCCTTCTGAGTGGGACATACCAGATGACTTACAAACAGTTTTGCCACCAGCCATGGACAGAAGGCTACCTGGCCGACCAAAAAGTCACGATCGTATACCGTCTAAGGGTGAAGAGAAGAAGAGATCGACATGTAGTC